AAGGCATCTAGGGGAGGCAGATTGGAGACTCTAAAAGAAGAACGAAACCGTTTAAATTTTCCCGCCTTTCCACCAAAAGGGGATACACAGAAGACCACTAAGGAAAATTTGTTTGCAGTTGAGTCGCGTGTTCCCTCCCTTTCAAAGGCATATAAATGCAGGACAGAAACGCTGCCAAATACCCATCGCTCCCAAGTAACCAAAGTAGTTACGCAACTAACAAAAAAAAACAATGTGAAGAATGAGAGATCCTATAGTTATTGGATTACGTGTGGGAGACTGAGGGTAGTAAAAGCGTGTAGATACACCCTAAATCTCAAGTTTGGTTAGAGATTTTGCTTAATGACAGTAATGGTAACAGTAATAACAATAGTTTGCAAACTTTCAATTCATAATTTAAGACAAAAGGTTTATGCTACCCAACAGTTGGTGGTAGACCGCAGAAATCCATAGGTAATTCAAGATGAATTTCAGTTCCTACGGGCTAACTTTCTATTAACAGTTTATCGTTCATTCTGGGTACTTAATACAAGGTGCTATGCAGGACCAAGTTTTTAGAACAATAAGGACTTTGGAGAAAAAATACGACCACTAATCTAGTAAATTTCTCAACAAAATAAATGAAGCACGACTACTTTACCAACAAACAGTTGTAGCAGACAAGACTTATTTTAGTCAACGTAAAAACAAATTTACTTCTGGCAATTAAGCAAAGCGATCACGGAATTGCTTTGTAAATGCATTCAAAACTTCACAACTATTACGTAACTTCTTTGCAAAAGGTTCAGACACCAGAACCCAAAATGACGTACATCATTCGACCATCAGCTCCACAAGAAAGGCAAGACTGGTTTCCAGGTAATAGAGAGATCGCCATAACAGCAATGGATGGCCTGTGAACCTGGAAAAGTAGGAGATGACCAGTATAAAGCATTTTCCCACGTAAGTCATGGTAAGGAAAGGGACTATCAGCAGACTTGATGAACAGCGACTTCGTAACCAGAAGTAACGTCCAGGATGATGATCCTACCATCCGAGGTGCCCACAAAGCGTCGATTGATAGATCGATCCCCGCTCGGTTTTGCCCGACGTCGAAGAGAAGGTGGAAGGGAGGAGTAGTCGATTTCGTGAGCAATGGCAGTAATTCTGTCCTTCCCTGTGCGTGTGGCCCACACAAGTTCCGAATCTGCACTGTTACTGTTACTGTTTAGGAAAAAAAAGAAAACCGCCTATGTCAGTTGAATGTCTATAAGTTCATGAAATTCAACAAAGAATATGAACAACCAAAACGACTTTCAAAAAGCCAACACAAGACAACTACTTGATAATTGGACTAGAACTGTTTGCTGCCTTAGGTGGTTCCAAACAATGTAAGAACCTTGGGTTAGTGAGATCGATCAGTAGTGGACTATCAGATTCTGAAAAATAAAGTTATGATTTATAAGCCTTCAGATGTCACTAAAACCACCTATTGTTAAATAAGGTTCCCAAAATATCAAACAATAAAGACACTGAAATTTCTGGTATTGAACGGATATTTGTAGAAGATACGCTGTGTGCCACTTTCGTCGAAGGGAGAGGTCTTAGATTATCCAAATAAGTCTTAATTGATGATTGGGGTCATCGATGAGGATAATAGAGCCCGAGCACGCATTCTGCCGAGCATAAGGGTACCTAAATATGCTATGACGACACCCCATATTATTTTAGGAAGAATTTCGAGCTAATGGAAAACTGACACTCGCTAACCACCGAGTCATCGACAAAACAAGTAAATAAAAATGAACAAAACAATTTG